GAGAGGCAGAAGCAGACTCCTCGCTGAGCAGAGAGCCTGATGCCGGCTAGACCCCAGGACCAGGAGATCATGATCTGAGCCGAAGGCAAATGTTTAGCTAACTGAGCCACCGACGTGCCCCTAAAGTAGTTTATTTTAAACAGTTTCCTGGAAATATATTTCTTGTACTTTTAGTTAATATATCTTCCTTACTCTGTGTCAGATGTTATTCTAAGGGCCTATCAAAAATGAGCTTATTTTATCCCCACGACAATGTTGTTTGATTTCTGATATTATCTCTGTTTTATGAATAAGGGAACTGAAGAACAGAGAGGATGAGTAATTTGCCTAAGTTCACACAGCCCGATTAGCCTGGTCCTGTAGACCGGGTTCCTGACTACTATCTACATTCTGCACTATGTTGAATGTAATAAGTTAGAATTTATTATGATTTTCTTGTGTAAGTCAAACTGGTTTTATAGCAAACCTTGTGAGCGTAATATACCAGTGAAAACAGTTGCAGTGAATGTGTCAGGACAACAAAACACCTATTCAGTAGCTGGGAAATCAATTTGATGTCAAATTTAAGCACTGCTGAGGCTGTTACAATAAATAGGTTTGTGTTTTTTGTTGTTGTTTTTTTAGAAGCCTGCATTTCATCTGCTGTGGTTATTTATAGTTTTTAATTTCTTCTTAGGCATGTCACACCTGAAAAATTTTATGTGGAAGCTTGTGATGATGGAGCAGATGACGTACTTGTCATCGACCGCGTGTCCACAGAAGTTACCCTGTCAGGTATTTCTCAGCTGGGGGCAGAAGCAGCCTCGAGACAGACTCTGTACCGCAGTTGCAGTAATTAAAATAAACGATCGGGGGTATATCTGTGTGTGGCTCTCTGAGTCTCGTCTTATAACTTTGAATTCCTGCCACCTCATTTGATTGTTATGCATTCGTTTTATGCTTCCTCCTTATTCTGAAAAGGAGGAATGATCTTGAAATTTTTACTATCCGTAAGAATTTAAAAACATAATTATTTCTTTATTTCTTCCCTTATCTGTACTTTAACAGGATCGGTTTTATTGATGTCAGTTCCTTTCTAGCTGTGAGACTTAAGGTATTTGAGGGTGAGAAAGTTGTTTGAGCATTAAGTGTGTGGAATTTTAACAGCAGCTTTAGTTTTTGAAAATATTCATGACTGAGGGTAATTTAATAAATGAAAAATTATATACACACACACACACACACACACACATATATGTGTGTATCACTGACTAAAACTTGTGTTGTAGGCAAATAATGTTCCTAAGCTTTATCTGTCTATATGTTGTCTGTCTCTCCAGTTGTATTTCGGTTTTGCTTCTCAGGGGTGTAAAAAACAATTTTTTTCCCAATCATATGGAACACTGATTTCTGATTAGATGTGAAATAATTGTGGTGATAAATTAATATACCACATGATATCACATTTAGAATCTCATATTTCATGTGTTATTCCCCTCTAGACAGAGTTTTCTGTATTTAAGTACAGTATTTGAGTAACCACAGAGTAGGAATTCAGTAAATGTAAATACCCTCTGAATGGATAAAGTGAAATATGAAAATATTTTGAATAGGATAGTAAAGTATAAGAAAGAGATGGCTATAAATTTCTATTTTCTTAGTTACCTGCTTATTCTGGTAAGTAGCATATATAGTTTTCCTCTGACCAAATGGAATTAGAGGGCTGTTTTGGTTTGATAATTTGGCATTTCCTGTGTCTGTTGCTTGGTGGTTGCTCTCTCAAGATAGCTGGTTGGTTTTAACCAATGTTAGGGCACTTCTAAAGTCTAGTAACACTACTACTTTAGACCGTGTTGATACAACCTAGTGTCTTATAAAAGCTTTAGCATGGATGTGTTTTCAATTATTTTTGACCTTTCAGTGATACTTACTTGTAGGTAGAGATTGCAGATCCACTAGAGGCGACAGTGCTAAAGGTCACCAATAGTTTGGTTGTAAAAAGGACACCAAGTAGTCATCAGTGGACACATGAAGAGATACTTTGACCTGAAGCCAGTGGTGATAAGGGGCCAACTCACTCACAGTTGCTCTGCTAGTTTTTTTTTGTTTTTTTTTTTAGCTGTTGGGAATGCAGACCATTGCCACGGAAAGAGGGATTTTTTTTTTCCTTCCATGAAAAACTAACGTGTGTTCTTAGGAATTATCAGTTTTATTGTTATTATACTCCAGTTAATGTAACTTAGAGCTCCATCAATAAATAGTACATTTAATTTTTTTTTTTTTTTTTGGGATGGGGACTGATATTTTAGTACATTTTTATCAGATGATCTCGGTATATTCAGGATTTTCTCTAAGCTTTTCACTGCGCTGGCATTCCCATTTGTCATGTTCGTTAATTGTGGCATAGCATTGCTAAGTAAATTGAACCACTGAGAGAAACAGAAGTGAACTTCAGACCTTATTCGGAATTACTTCATTCAGAATAACAGGACTGCCTTTAAGAAACAGGACTTGGATTGACAGCAGCGTTTCAAAATGAGTTCTAGGATGGTAATTAAACTGTGAAAGAAAAATTATATAGCCACATAAGCCTGGGAGCTGTGAATGAAACCACGGAGCAGCTTTGTTCCCCTGTAGGCTCTTCAGAGGTCCATGCCTTGTGACTCCGGGAGAGGGAAGAGAGGTGATGTGGATGTCTGTAGCAAAATCAGCTCATTTGATGAGGACTCCTACCCTCCCCACTTTGGTGCATTATTCCCTAGAGTTCTACAGAATGTGTTTTGTGAAACACATTGACTTAAAGTTTAACAATTGTGAAATGAACCCTATAATCAAAGATACTTTTTTATTATTAAGGGCATTATTGGTAAAGTCAAGGTTAATGGTGGTACCTCCCTGCACACCTGCGTTTCCTTCCTCCCTCATCCCTTGGGTCTTGCCTCTGTTTCCCACATTTGTAGAGTGGATGGGCAAGTCTCTGTGTTCCCTTAGTTGCATGTTGGTATTAAATTCATGCCCTCCTCCCCATTAACTTTCTAGTTCTCTGAAATAGACACAGACTTAGTTTCTGGCAAGAGGTTGAATAAATTTGGTTGAAAAATGACCATAGAAGTATCCCATGATTTACTTGATGAGGATGCTGAAGCATGTTACTTTGGGCACCTTATTCTAGACAGGCAGAGGCCTTTATATGTCACATGGACATCTTTATTTTATATTTTGCCAAAATGGAGGTCTAGCACTAGATGAAGGACTATTGCTTTCTTAGAACAAATCATGCATATTGATTTTCAAGTAACTACGGAAGTCAAACTAAATCTCCTTTTGTATCAGTGAGCTTTTTCTATGTGATTTTTCTTTTCCTTTTTTTTTTTTTCTTTTAAAGTCAAGAAAGATATTCCTCCTTCAGCTGTTACAAGACCAATATTCGGTATACTGGGCACAATCCATCTGGTGGCAGGTAAGAAAAAATAAGCTAAGATGGGCAAAGAAGGTAATGAAAATGACACAGTATAAAATGAAGGCATACTTCCTATCATGCTTGAGGCAGTAACTGTAGGTTAGGTATTTGTCACTAATTTCTAAAAGTGACATACTCCAAATGACAAGTGGTAAAATCTATCAGCCTGAGGTTCTGTTGAAAAAAGTTTGGTTTTTGGTTTTATTTCAACTGAAATCTCTAGTCAACTAGACATTTCTTCATAAGTTCTAAGAGTATTTAAAAAAACATTTTAATGCACTGATGACCCAGAGTATTCTATACCGTCAGCCCCATATTGAGGTTGAATATAACCTGGTGCATCTTAGAGAATGTTACCTGGTTCTGAATTATTAGGAAAGTGATTTTGTTTATCTAGATTTCATTTCATTGAACTTAAAAAAATTCCTGTAATATCAGGCAGTGTGCTAGATGCTGAGTTATGGAAGATGCCAGACCCTTTTTTTCTCCTGCGGTTTACAATCTAGTGAATGATGCATTTAAGTAGTAAATCACTGTAGTACGGTGTGACAAGTTCCAGGAGAGAGGGGTACGTAGGGAGACTTCCAGGAAGGGCACTTGTGGGTAGAGCCTTGAATGGAGCTTAAGAATTAATTTAGTGGTAAAGGCTTACCCTGTTTTATTTGTGGGAGGCGGCGGCGGCAGCTAGGATCACGGTTGGGGTATTATTCATAGTACTGTGATGCCTTCTTAATTCTGGACAGTTCATCTTTGTGATGTTGCAGTGACCAGTTAGTTATACTGCCCCAGCACATTTCTCTACCACTTAAAATGACATGGACGCCATAGGGGTGGTGTAGACGGGACATTACCTCTCCTGCAGTGGTCATATCTCATGACACATGATGATGCTCTAAGCTACATGCTGGGAAATGCGTTAGCAGAGGCCTGTGTGCCTTGGGGATGGCAGGAGCGAGAAAGAAGCGTTTTCTGGCTTTACTCTGCATCTGCTAAGATCACTGCTTTTGCTTTTGTTTTTTTGAGAAAAGATTTGACCTTTCAGTAGGAACTTTTCTAAATACGCTATTCTTTCTATTCATAAATCCTAAGGTTTCCTTTAAAAAAAAGTCATGGGCCTTTTATCTGTATGGCACCGTGCGGTCTCACTTGCTGCCTGTGGAGCTTAAATGGTGCCAAGTGCTACTGTTGGTTTTAGAGTTGCCTCTTTTATATTTATGTTGTGTGTGGCTTTGCTTTTTGCAGGTAATTATCTAATTGTTATTACCAAAAAGACAAAAATAGGTGAATTTTTCAATCACGTAATCTGGAAAGCAGCAGATTTTGACATCCTTTCTTATAAGAAGACGATGTTGCACTTAACTGATATTCAGGTAAGAACTGGAATCACTTATTAATCACAAAAGCTGACGCAGTCCCATGGGGGTGGCAGCTGGGGCGGCAGAACGAAGGTTGGACGGATTTCTTTTAAGCCTAATGATTTCAACAGCCCAGCGAGTAAGGTTCCTCTACACACCTTTACACCTGGCCAGAAAACGTGCTTTCTAAAAGTCCTGTATTTATTTTATTGTTCTTGGTTTGCTTTTTTAAAAACTGACTCAAGTTCTTAAGTTTTGAAATTTCATATGTAGAGAAAAGGACAAACAGAAAAAGCCCCAGTATCCAGCAACCAGAATTAACTTCATATCCTTTTTGTAAAGAAATAAAATATAGATACCTTTGAAGTTCCACTGATCCCATTTCATTCCGTCTTTGTCCAGAGAAAAAGTTTTCTTCGCGTTTGCCACATGTGAACAGCAGTGTGTGTTTATGCCCCAGCGGCTGCCCCGCCTTAGCACGATTCCTGTATGCACAGCTTTTAGTTACCCTTGTTCAGGTATTAGGGAATGCATTCCCCCAACAAAGCGGGTTCAATTTCAGTTACCATGGTATATGAAGTCAAGTATTAGTGCAGCAAGTTGGAGGGCAAAGGAACAAAAAAGCAGCAGCTCTTGAAGGGAAGTTTGCATTGAACATGAGTGGGGTACGGAAGTTGCGGCTGACCCTGGGAATGCCGGCCCTCGCCCTCCACAGGTCTGCAGCCAGGGGTCTTAGTGAGGGTGAACTTCTCGACATTCATGATGAAGTGGTTGTGATGAGAAGGTTGAAGATGTCCCAGAGGAAGTGATACCAGTGACAGACTTCACAAGAAAGGAACTCTCTGGAGTATTCCATGACTTTGAGAGTGCCAAGGATAAGGCGTAAGGATAAGATATGACAATTAGGGGCACCTGGGTGGCTCATTTGAGCGTCTGACTCTTGGTTTTGGCTCAGGTCATGATCTCAGGGTCCTGGGATCAAGCCTGGCATTGGGCTCCACGCTCAGCAGGGAGTTTGCTCGTGCTTGCTCTTTCTTTCCCTCTTAAATAAATAAATAAATAAATCTTTAAAAAGACAAGACAGGTGTATGGCAATTGGCCAGGGCATAGAAAAGATACGCCATAGCAATATATTCACCCCTATAAGACATGGTATTTAAGGCAATTAAAAATGGTTGTATTTATTTACTAGCCCAGTATTATTTACTTGAACAGTTTTTTCTTGATTGCTATACTTGGTTGTCAGGCCATGCAACTAATTTTAACATTGCCCACTACATATGCTTTGTACCTTTTGGTCTAAAATAAATAAATACATGTCTGAGCCCAAATTAAAAATTTTGTAGTATGTGGATTTGTAACAGGTAGATTAACATATTAATCATTTGATAATCATTAAGCATGACCAAACATTATCAATTGTTTCTTAAAGCAAGGATAAAAGTAAATGTCTCAGTATTCATTGGGAAGGCCAGCTAAAATGATTATCAGAAAATAAAGATAAGTATTATTTTACTGGACTTTTCTTTTTAATCTTTGCATTTTAAAAAAGAATTTAATTCCCATCCAGCCCAGTAAAGTTTCTTAGGAATGAGGATGGTATTATTCCCTTGTTATTTCCTTGCTGTGTTATTGGGCCTCTCATGACTTTATGTTTTTCACTTGTCAAATGAGCGTGATTAACACTAAACTGCAAGGTTTGTTGTGAGGATGAAAGAGAGTCTCTAAAGGGTCTGGCACGTGGGAGGTCATCACCTAAGGCGGTGATGTTTTGTTAAAATAAATTTCTGCCCATTAGAGAAAAACTGAAGGATACTAAAGGGCAGGAGTTCTATCCCATCAGTTAATGTAACAATACCCCATGCTGTTGAGTGAACCTCCTCCGTGGGTCAGGAGCTGGCCTAGGTCCTAGGGGAATGGTGAGCATCCTCTCTGTCAGTCCTATGCCAGTGGCATTTAACAGGGCCGGCTGGCTTACAGATCTGGACAGATTCGGTTTCAAGTATGAGACAGACTGATGTTTTCCTCCCTTTTGTTTACAGTTACAAGATAATAAAATTTTCCTAGCGATGATAAACCACGTCCTGAATGTGGATGGGTTTTACTTCTCAACAACATATGATTTGACCCATACTTTGCAGCGGCTGTCGAACACCAGTCCAGAATTCCAAGAAATGAGTCTCTTGGAAAGGGTAGGCTTCATCTTCAGCTATTTTTACTTATTTTGGTTTGTTTTTTTTTTAAAAGGGACATATCTCTATGTCATCCATAAAAATATTTATTGATTTTTTGCAATCCTGGCTATGTCAGACTCACATGTGGGGTTGAAAACACACCGTGTTCTCAATGTCCGTCACAATTGCAAATTCAGGATCCCAGAATCTGTATGTGTGACCCAGACAGGACTGAGAACCAGTGGTATAAGAATTGAGAAGTCTGTCTAAACAGACATGCTGAGGGGCGCCTGGGTGGTTCAGTCGTTAAGCGTCTGCCTTTCGGCTCAGGTCATGATCCCAGGGTCCTGGAATCGAGCCCTGCATCGGGCTCCCTGCTCCGCAGGAAGCCCACTTCTCCCTCTCCCACTCCCCCTGCTGTGTTCCCGCTCTCGCTGTGTCTCTGTCAAATAAATAAAATCTTAAAAAAAAAAAAAAAAAGACATGCTGGTAGTTTCCTGGCTTTCAGTGCTCTGCAGTATAACAATTATTAACGTTAACAACATAATTACCCTTAAAAAATTACCGTGCCAACATGCAATATTCTTTCTGCAGTGGTGGTATTTATAGTTTTTACAACGAGAAAAGTAAGAACTTACTGATATAAGAACTTGAAAAATATTGATTTAAGGTGGGGTTTTTTTGTTGTTATTTTGCCCCCCCCCTTTTTAAATATGAGTGTGTCTTTAAAACTAGGTCTCAAATGATATCATCCTAAAATTCCTGCTGTTCAGGAACCTGGATAATTGCCGCCTGGATATTTTAGTAACAAACCTTAGATTCTGTGTTTAGGGAGCAGACAGAATTTTAAAGGTTGCTGTCTGTTACCTGTTAGGCTAGACCCTATGAAATTGCTAGTAATTGACCATTTTTGACTAGTAAAAACGATAATTTCATATGGTTCATCCTAAATCAATATTTTAGTTGACTGGCTCTTTTAAGATTTTATACTCTAATCTAGTAAAATTTTATGTAGACTTGGATGCAAATTTAGATGTAAGCTAAGCAATCAAGCAATTTGGCTTTTAACTACAGAAACGGTTGCTTTTTTTTTTTTTTTTTAAAGCATTTGCTATGCTGCATCTGCCATTTGTTTATCAAATGTCTCCTGTCTCATTGATGTGTAAGGCATTGAGTTTGATTATGTAATGATGACTAATACATGCGGGCGATTGGGAGCACACACCTGCACTGGGAAGTGTGCCCCGAGGCTGGTTGTGGCTGCTCCTGGGACTCTCAGCTGGGGACAAGCATGGGGAGTGGCAGTCTGTGTGTTTTGTAAACAGAATGGAGAGGGTCGGTTAATCTCCTGTGTTGTTGAGGGAACGTCTCCTGTATTTATAGTTTGAAAGTCAGAGATGCCCTCGGCAGTTACTGTAGGGGCTGCCAGATGCCAGCACGGGTTAGGCCATGCGGAGGTGTGTTCTTTAGGTGACATCGAGCCAGTGAAAAATTCCCAGCAGACAGGAGACAGGTCACGTTGGAGAGCTCTTGCTGGCAGCATGTGGAGGGGTGGGTGGCAGGGGCAAGGCCAAGACTATCCGGGGAAGTTGCCCATAGTAGTTAGGCTGGAGTCAGGTGCTAGCAGGGACATAGGAGAGGGGGGTGGATTTGGAAGGAGATTTAGGACTTGGCAGTTGACTACAGATAAGAGGAAGACCCCAGGGCACCTGGGTGGCTCAGTCGTTAAGCGTCTGCCTTCAGTTCAGGTCATGATCCCAGGGTCCTGGGATCAAGCCCCACATCGGGCTCCCTGCTTGGCGGGAGGCCTGCTTCTCCCTCTCCCATTCCCCCTGCTTGTGTCCCTCTCTCGCTGTGTCTGTCTTTAAAATCTTTAAAAAAAAAAAAGACCCCAGAGGACTCCCAGGTTTCTGCCTGGGCCCACAGCACTGGCCTGAGCCAGTGGGACGGGACACCGGAGTAGGGGCGGATTTGAGGGGAAGACCTGTGTGTAGCCACCAGGTGGAGACATTGATTGTTGAGAGTTTTCATCTGTAGAAACTCAGGTTGGCAGGAGATACTTGATTAATTTTAAATCTTCTTCCTCAGGCAGATCAGCGGTTTGTATGGAATGGTCATCTTCTAAGAGAACTTTCTGCCCAGCCAGAGGTAATGGACACTAAATAAAACCTACTTATTTGTTACAGTCCAAGTTCTAATTGAATAGATCTGTAAAATGGCTGCCTAATCACCAGGGATTTTGGTAACTACTTCTCATTTAACTCAGTTTATAACTTACAGGCTTTGATAGGTTTGCCTCCTCGCATTGTTCTGGTTTGAAGAAGCCCAATTATTTTACTCTGATCTCCCATGGAAGCCTTAAAAAAGAAGAAATACTTACATAAAAATACGTTGCTTTCTGTGAGTAAGAGAGAAGGGGTCTTGGTCTGTCAGTAGTGGAGAAAAAAATGAGGAGCCCCAGGAGGTCCCTGGGCAAATGCAGAGCTCTGCATTTGTCCTCAGTTACCCAAGAGAGACATTCATGGATGTCATCATCTTCCTCTGTCCTTAGTTTGTACAAATGAGGGGGGGAGCAGGGAGGCCCAGCCGAGAAGCATAGCATATCAAATCTAGGTACATGGATTTGCTTAGTGTCTTTATTTCTTGTCATTTGCTTTGCTTCTTTCGGAAAAGTAGTTTGAGCTGCAGACAGCTCGCATGGGAGTCTCTTTCCTGGAGCAGTGAAGTTGCTGTAGGCAAAGAGTGACAGGGAGGGAGGTAGACGTTTGGCAGCTTCATGCAGTTTTATTAGTGTTCCAAAACCTGAACACTTAAGCCCAAATGATTGCATCACATGCTTAAATTGTGTTTTAATTGGAAAGACCAGGGTACGTGAGAGACATTTTAAAAAAATAACCCATAAGCTTGATACCTTGTTGTATTTGCATGTTACCTCCATAACACGCAAATATTTTTATATAGTAGAAGTATGTTTTATGCAGTGCTTCTTTTTATTTGAAGAGCATGTGTATTCCTCAGTGTCCTGTCGCTCTCCATTTCAGGTCCATCGGTTTGCGCTCCCAGTATTACACGGCTGTATCCTTTCATGGTGTCACTCTTCAGTTGCCTGGCAGTCCTTAGTCCGGTGTTAGTACAAGGCAGACTTAGGAACAATCTCAGTCATATGAAGAGAGTGTTTTAGAATTAGTAGAAATTGCTCTTGATAACAAAATCAAACCCATTAACGTAAAATCTTAGAATACTGGTTATAAATACCCCCCCTTTTTTTTTTAAATGAACTCTTGAGACTGAATTATTCTCTCTGTTCAAGAGTTCTGGGGCTGGTGGTTTAAAGAAGGAGCATGCAGACTGTGTTTTGTATTTATTAGACTTCGTACCAATAAACAAGAGTAGTTTGAACCTGACTATTGAAAACTTCCCCTTTCCCTTAAAATAGTTAGATTCAGGAACTAGGGCGACCAGCAACGTGGAGAGGAGAGTTATAATTAAAAATCGTCCTTGTCATTTGAAATAGCCACAAAAAAAATGGGAATAGATGGTACACAAAGAATAATGCTTAGGGCAGGGGGAAAGTCCATACAGATGCAAAACAAATAGTCATCATCTAATTGTAAGTTCATTTTAAGAACTTACCACAATAGGGAAGCCGAGTGAGCTGGCGGATAAGGGACAGGTAGCTGACGAGCGCCTGTAATCAGCACTGTGCTCTCCCTGCAGA